TAAGGGTGAGGTTTAGGGTTAGGTTAAGGGTTAGGTTTGGGGGGGTTAGGGTAAGGTTTCCGCTTTATTTTTACATTTTTTGATCTTTTTCGTCGCGCTGTGATGACGTCACATACGCGCTTTCGTCGACCGCGATTTTGTCGTCCGCGGTTTTGTGGTGGAACCGTTAGTTTTTTGGAAAAAAAAACTTTTCTTTATACCTTTATGCAAAACCAAATGGAAAAAGGAGCCGTGACAACCACTATTATGAAGGAAAATATAACCAGGATCCAGCCACAACACCCAAGGTCGCCAGAATTGCCATCTAAAAGAGGGGGGGAAAAGACAAAGAGATGTTTCATTTTACGACACGTTTTCTTGCCACCACTGTGAAGCAAATCGCTGCAGTCGTTAAGTTAGTCACACAGTCGTTAAGTGAATCTGGCTTCCAGAAGGTCGCCAAAGGGGACCCCAGGAACACCGTGACCATCAGAAATATGAGCCACTTGCCCCTTATCTAGATTTTGGCCACCTGACCACGGGATGCTGCAATGGTCGTAGGCCTAAAAGACCGTCATAAGTCACTTTTTTCAGTGGTATCGTAACTTCAGTCACTAGATAAATGGTTGTAAGTCGAGAACTACTGTCAGAGTTTGCTGCAAAAATCAAATCCAAAAAGCACACGCGGACAACCGATTCAGCAGGATTCATTGACTTCTTAATATAGGTAGATAACACATGAATAAATGTACTATACCCACAGCAGATTCTTCCAACGTGGTAGAGAGGAGAGATTGGCTTCCAGTTTCAATTCAGAGAGCAGACTAGACTACTGTATTTTTCGGAGTATAGGATGCACTGGAGTATAAGACGCACCAAGGTTTTGAAGAGGCAAATTTTTTTAAAAAAGGTTTTTGCACTCAGCAAACCTCCCAAAAACGGCCCATTTTTCATGAAAACAGGCCCATTTTTTTCCAAAAAAAGGCAGGAATAGCCTTTAGGGGGCTTGCAGAGTGCTCCTGGGGGGTGCACCCCCCAAAATGAGCAAAAAATGGGTTCTTTTTATAAAAAAAACCTTGCATGCATAGCCTTTAGGTGGCTTATAGAGTATTCCTGGGGGCTGGGGGGGGGGCAAAATTGAGCAAAAATTTTTTCGCTCATTTCTGCCCTCCCCAGCCCCCAGGAGCTCTCTGAAAGCCTTCTACAGGCTCTGCATGGCCATTTTGGTGAAGAGGACGGGGCTNCAGCCTTAGCCATGAAAACCAGCTGGGTGATATAGGGCCAATTAGTAGATGATGAGTTCTAGTTCCACCTTAGGCATGAAAGCTGGCTGGGTGACTTTGGGCCAATCACCAGGAGACAATGAATTCTAGTCCTACCTTAGCCATGAAAACCAGCTGGATAATTTGGGGGGCAGTTATCAGGAGATGGTGAATTCTAGTTCCATCTTAGGCATGAAAACCAGCTGGGTAACTTTGGGCCAATCACCAGGAGTGGGTGAGTTCTAGCCTTAGCCATGAAAACCAGCTGGGTGATTTGGGTCCCAATCAGCAGGGGATGGTGAGTTCTAGTTCCATCTTAGGCATGAAAACTGGCTGGGTGACTTTGGGCCAATCACCAGGAGACAGTGAATTCTAGTCCTGCCTTAGCCATGAAAACCAGCTGGATAATTTGGGGGGCAGTTATCAGGAGATGGTGAATTCTAGTTCCGTCTTAGGCATGAAAGCCAGCTGGGTAACTTTGGGCCAATCACCAGGAGTGGGTGAGTTCTAGTCCTGCCTAAGGCACAGAGTCAACTGGGTGACCTTGAACACTCACCCTCTCAGCCCTAGGAAGCAGGCGAGGGCAAACCATTTGCAAAACCTTGACAGGAAAATTCCAGGGACCTGTTCGGGCAGTTGCTAGAAATCAACACTAACTCAAAGGGACTAAAATCAAATAAATCTAATTAAATAAGGAAGGATTCATCAATGAGATCAATGTTGACCATTTATATAGACAAAGAGGGAGTTAGTAACTATGTGGCTTGCAATTGATCCAAGCACGCCCAAAGTCCCAAGTTCACTGCCATCTCTTCCACTTACAACATGGTTGAAATCAGGGGTGGGTTGCTCCCAACTGCTGGTTCGATGCACACAAAAAGGAAGATTGTTGGTTGAGGAGGGACAAAAACAGCCAGGGAAGTGATTGAAGCCTGGGAAATAGGCCCCTCGTCAGTCAACAGGAGTGCTGATTTACCACCAAGGACTTAGAAGGTGAGAGTGCTCTGACCTAGGCTTCCTAAGAGCATGAAACAAACTCCTTGTCCCGGCAAAAAAACCTTTTATTAATTTACTCTGAATTCTGCTCATTCACATCCAGCAAAGTCTTTCAAGGGAGGATTTACAGTCACAGACCTTATCTGGCTTGGAGAGCTGCCAGGCTGTTATCTGCAGAACTTGGCAAAGAGTCTCAGAGAGAGTCACGAGCCAATTAAGTGAACTAATTGTCTCCTGCAAACTCCACTCCCCTTTCGCTCCTCTTTTATTTCCTCTGGGAGGGGCCATTCATCGTCCACCTGCGGCCTTACTCCCAGGTCAACTCCTGTTCTTCAGCTCTTCGCTTCGTCTGGAGGCTCTGCGCATGCACACACTGGGAACAGGCTCCAGCTGTTCTTCTGCCTCACTGATGTCTGACTCTGAAGGCAGCTGATAACCATACGGCTCTGGTCCCCTCTCTGCCTCCAATACATAGCCCT